TCCAAGAGTTGTGCTGTTCCAAATGAAGGCAGAGCTACTACATAAAACCTACAGTAATTCAAATGTCCAACAGGACATCCCTAATATTTATAACTGAAAAACTGACTTATAATCGAGCACATTTAAGAGTGTTACTTATGGCGATACAGAGCTAATCACAGCAAAATTTTTGGCAAATATTCCCGGGTTAATAGCACTATTAGTGATAGTTCTCAAAGAATGAAGTATCTATAACAAAAAATTTCTAGAGGAAAAAAAAAAGCATTGGAGGGAACCACACTAAGGCCTTACTGCACAAAGCCTGGTCACTTTGGAAGTGCATGGACATCAAGCAATGCTGGTCAGAAAAATCAGACCTGGGCCCCACACCACACCTACTGTGGCAGATTTTAACAGGGCTCTGAGAGGCTTATGCATGCTAACCTTAAGGAGTACTACTTTCAGACTGTGAAACAGTGTTAAATATTAACAGTTAACAGTATTAACATTTAACTTGTCAGAACTGAAACTTGCTAGCTCCCTTTAAGACAATAAATAAATATTAATAGCAAGCCTCTCTCCTTTCTTATAGCCTTAATTTCTGTGGTTCCAGTTACCTGTGGTCAACCAACATCTGACATCAAATGGAAAATTCCAGAAATAAGTAAACTGTGCCTAATTTATAAATAAAAGCCTATTATAGATATGAATAGTACTGCCATAGTTTAGGTCTAAATGTCTTTCAAAGAACCACATGTTAAAAGAGTTGGTCTCTACCTTAGAGCTACAGAAGATGGCTGCCACCTTTAAGACGTGGGGCCTATGGGGAGATTTTAGCCTTTGAAGGGGCCTCCAAAATGTCTGCCTTCTTTTTCCTTCTCGATCCTTCTCCTTGGCCATCACAAGGTGAACACTTCGCTCTGGGACACATTCCTCTCACCATGGTGTACTATGTCGCCATAGGTCCAAAAGAATGGAGACAAGACGACTATGGAAGGAGATCTCTGAACCCATACGCTAAATAAAATAAAGCTTGACTCTTTTTAACTGACTGACTCAGCTACCATCTGCAATCCTCCAGGGGTCTTGGGGTGCACTCCTGTGGATGAGAGGGGCTCCTGGACTCCCATGTTCTGTTGAGTCATCCTGACTACCCCTGCACTATCCTGTTTTATCATTTATTTTTCCCTACCCCATCAGTTACATTTCTCTTACATTGGTTACAGTTGCTGTGACAAAATGTCCGCCAGAGCAACTCAGCAGAGGAAGGACTCATTCTTGGCCTGCAGCTTGAGAGGAAGAACGGCTCTACGCTGCAAGAGCGTGAGGCGGCTGGGGACATTACATCAAGAAGCAGAGAAAGCTCCAGTGGGAACAGTCCTACACACTGACCTATAAGGCCTACAGGCTACCACTAACCCATTTCCTGAAGGTTCCACAATCCCCCAACGAGATGGCACCAGCCGGGGACCAGGTGCTCAAACACATGAGCCAATCTGTAGCCATTAGTTTCAACCTAGGTTGGGGAGAAGAGACCAAGCAAGGAGACTGATTCCTCAAACATCTGTTGAATGTGAAGAGAAGGCCCATCAAAAGCCATCAAGGCTCTCCTTGCAATTCTCACCCCCACTTAAGTGCTAAGCAACTGCTTGGGCTTGTATTAGCCATCATGGCTATGGCTAGCAAAGGCAAATAGCTCCTGGACCAGCACCAAAGTGGAGAGAAATCATGTGTAGGTGACTTAAAGTCCCATTTATACCCTCAGGATTTTCTTTCCTCCCTGATATCAGGTTTCAGCCTGAAGCATCCTGAGCACACCCTAGTGCTTCCTGATGCCTGTAAGCAGCTCTTCACAGACTAGGAATGTTCCTAAAGAAGTCCCTTGCCTAAAGAAGCAGGAAGGCAGATCCCCCCCAAAAGTCAGTTAGCCACCTCCCAACTCAAACTCATCCTTTTCTTACTATTTAACTCCCACCAGTCTCAAGGGGAACAAAGCCCATTTACTTGGAAACAAGGAAGGAGAATACTCTATTGAAAAAAATTTCAAACCTCCATAGGAAGGGTTCATGCACTGATGGCTTCAGGAAGAAGGCAAGCCATTGTGTCATTTCCACCTGCACACAAGATTCCTGACTTAGAACGGCTTGTAAGTTTAAAATATGAGCAGCATAGAACACACCCACTCCACAGAGCATCACTGCAATTCAGTACACTGTAGAATGCTAGCCTTAGGACTAGGAGCCACGCTTGTTGTCTTAGCCCAGAAACAGGGGAGAATATTATAGCACATCACAAGCCCAGAAAACAATCAAAATTCAAAGTAGGGCTTCTACTGAATATATACTGTTTAAATATCATCATAAAGCTGAAAATATACCTGAGGGTATAAATGGGATTTTAAGTCTGGGTTAGGATTGATAAATACAGTACTCACTTATAAAACTCTCAATTTAATTTTTTAAATTAAAAAAATTGAGCCAAACTACCATGCCATGTATCCTCTGTAATGCATTCTATGGATTACAAGCAAATGCAGGTTATCAGAACAAATTTGGAGGTGAGGCGTGGCTGCACCAACTGTTGGATTTGCCTTTCAGTGTCCTGCACTGGTTGAAGCTGGGTCCTGGGGCCTCGGCCAATTCCTTTTTTTAAATATGATGAAATAGAGAACAAGATGGCTCACACAAAGGCCTCTTATGACACACTCACCCAGACCTCCCAGAGTCCAAAGGGCTCAGACTGCTTCCACACCATCCCTCATTCTGCTGTTGTCCCTCTGGTTACGCAGTAACTCCACCAGATGAAGGCTGCCAACCCCAGAGCCCATGTGTTTAACAAGGCTCAGACATGGCATCTCTTCTCCAGCTTCATGGCCTTTAAGAACCCACCATGGGGGCTGGTGAGATGATTCATCAAATAAAGGCACTTGCTACCAAACACAGCAACCTGGGTTCAATCCCCAGGTCCCACACAGTCAAAGAAGAGGACTTACATTGCCCTGTGACCACCACACATGGTCTGTGCTTGAGTGCCCCACCCTCATAAATAAAACTGAAATTTAAAATCAGTTTTAAAAGATTCTACAATGGGTCTCACAGTGATGGTGGATTCCATTTCTCAGATCCAGCAAGACCCAAGTGGCATCTGAAGATATGCACTGAGCAGTGTGTGCTCCAACGTCAGACCCTGGGCCTCCCCCCCTCCCCCAGATTCTGTCACCTTGAGTATCATTAGACCTCAGTCTCTCAAGTCTAAGATGGAGTGGGCAACTGTGCTGGTCTAAGAAAGCTTTCTAAGACATTCCTCCTAAGTCACAAAACTGCCTGGTTTTTGTGGGGCCACAAGGGTTGAAAGTCAGTGAATTCAGACTGTCACCTAAATGTCACCTAATTCTAAAATTCAAAAGATGCACTGTTCTCTGAAATTGTAGAAGCCCAGTTCTGGGTGGTAATTACATGACTGTGAGAAGAGTGACTGGTGATGGAAATCCTTAAGAGAGGGTTTAGGAACAAAAATAACCCACATTTTAATTCTACCAATCTGGCACTTCTCCCACCCCTTCAAACTGTAGTGAGATTGCCATTATCTCCATCTGCTGCCTTCTAGCCGTTAGTGCACAATTCTCAATCCTGCCAGGAAAGGATCCATAATCCCTGCTTTCTAGTCCAGACACAGGGAGGGGCAAGAAGCACAAGAGGAATTCAGCCTTAAGTCTACACAGGGACCTCACACCTACCCCACAATTAAGTACATAGTTGTGTGGAACCCTAAATGGAAGTGTCACTTACCATCTTCTAGTCAGGAATGATGGAAAGGAAAATCCCAATAATCTCACCCCCCAGCCTACCATCACCCCCCCCCCCCCATCCTCACCCCATTTGCTAAATACAGAGAGCCTGGGCTAAAAGGGAATGTATAGGGCCATTACCAAAACCAACCAAACAAACAAACAAGACCCAGCCCAGCCAACACTGCTAGAAGCAAAGAAACAGGAACATGCAGGAAATAAAGGCCCAGCCTGAGGGCTCTGGCTACCAACAGGTCAAAATCCCTGCAGTCATTCACTGCGTTCCAGATTCAGGCAGAACAAAAATGAAAAACACTCACTTTTTACCCACTGGTCCAGGAATGAAAGTATTTGCTAATACAGACAGCAATGTCCCCAGCCAGTAGCTGCCTGGGTGAATGCTCGGTCCAGGCCTCTTATCAATACACTGGCAGTGGCTCCCGCCATCAACAGAAAGATGGCAGCTGATGAGAAAGGCAGTCAAAATGTAAACAGGTGATCTGACTGTTTCTCTGAAGATCTACGTCAAGAGGCAACAAATAGCTGCCACGGTCATGTGGACAATTTGTTGAACTCAATCAAAAAACATAAAACCGATGACAAAAATCTCTATTACTCAATTTTAATTAATTGCTATTTTCTTTCAGAAAAATAAGAGATTTTTATGGATAAAGATACACAGTGAGAATGTGTATTTATCCTAGGCTCCTATACTAGATTACTCTCCATCTAGGTTTAAAAGAGGACCAGGCTGACCTTAGATCCTATTTTTAACAGAAAAAAAAAGGTCCAGTTACCCCAGATGCCCGTGTCTGCTCACAGACCAAGCTGGTACGTACAACCACTGCCCACCTCTTGGCTGAGAGCAGATGCTACGTCTCCACGTTCCAGTTACAGGTTTACGTGGGTACAGTTACTACTTGTTACATAATATTTAAAAAAACCGAGATTAAAAATGGTTACATAAGACTATCCTACAGCTACGGTCCACCCAAGCTCGCGCGATCCCGGACCGTAGGCGAGCCGGCAAGCGAGCCGGCAAGCGAGCCAGCAGCTAGCAGCGCAACAGCGCGCCGAGCCCGCGGCCATTCGTGCTCGCGAGCTCGCCGGTGCTGCTCACCACTTGGATCTTTGCAGATCTCGGGAGGCGAACCCTTTCCAAACGACCACCGTGACTTCAGCACGTCTCCTCTTCCCCCCAGACCCCCGGAACGTCGCGGATGACGGAGCCCACCTGCGTACCTGGAGAGCCGGCTACCACAGACTTCACCGCACGGGGTCGCTGCGTGCGCGCTACCGGCTGGCGGACAGCTCCCGAACCCGGCAGTGCCCAGCGCGCGAACAGCGCTCCGCATGGACAGCGCTCGGCCGCGCGGCTCGCTCGGGTTCGCCACGGCTCCGCCCCAGCTAAGGGCCTACAGCGTGGGAGGAGGACTCTGGGGCCTGAGAAGCGCAGAGGCCAGCCAGGCACGCGCTGACACGCGGCAACGCGGCAACACGCGCCGATACACGGAAACACGCAACACGCGCTGACACACGAGCTACATGCGCCAACATAAACCAACACAGCCGACAAGCGCCTTATGCGAACCGACAGGGCCGGCAAGCTCAGAAACGAATGAACGCGGCCGGCACGCGCCAACACGCGCCGGCACGCGCCAACCCAAGTCGGCACGCGCCAACACGCGCCGGCACGCGCCAACCCAAGTCGGCACGCGCCAACACAGGCCGGCACGCGCCAACATGCGCCGGCACGCGCCAACATGCGCCGGCACGCGCCAACCGCGCCGGCACGCGCCAACCCAAGTCGGCACGCGCCAGCACGCGCCGGCACGCGCCAATACGGCTGCCACGCGCCCACACGCACAGACACACACAGACACGCGCCGACACGGGCCAACACGCTAAGCGAAGCTACGTAGCCTCCCAGGAGGCCATCCCGGCAAGGGTGCCGTACCTCCCCGCCCCCCGAACATGCTTGCCTGGACCCACCCCCATCTTTGCACAGGTGCTGGGAGGCCTGTTTAGCTGCGCCGGTCCCTGGTCCTCCACCGCTCTCCTCGGCTTCCAGGGGACTGACTGGGCACCCCTGACGACCAGGAGGACGAGGGACGCGGCTGGTCCTTGCGCACTACGGGAACCCCAGGACCAAACCCATGTGACGCAGCCACGCCCCGAGGCCCAGCGGGGGCCCTCTGCTGCCCAATCCCTGGATCCCTGGTTCTCATGGCAACCCTGAAGAACCTCTTGCTCCCAGCTTCTCGTCCTCCCCTCCCCCACACCCACTTCGCTCTGATGGGCAAGAACAGGAACAGCGCCTGCAGATCTCATGACGCCAAAAGGCCACCATGTCCACCGATTAAACCACATACAGAGCTCAGAAATGGGTGGTGAGCCCACCAAAAGTCAGGAATGCCACCGGCAACACCATTATCTTGACCTGCGAGAGGAGGGGAGTTCTAAGTGACTATAGCCAGCCAACCTCGGTACCCAGAATCATTTTCATCTCAAATCCTTCCTCAAAATGTCAAAGCAAAAACACTAGAAAGGGAGAGGCTCCGTTTTGAAACAACAAACACACCATTATTATATCTTGGTGAAAAAGTGTGGTTGCATATATAGAGTTAGTTAAGAAAATAATAGTAACAAGCATCTGTTATGCGCTAGTCTCTCTCTCTCTCTCTCTCTCTCTCTCTCTCTCTCTCTCACACACACACACACACACACACACACACGGCTACAACAAAGGAAGCAATGGTAAGATTAGGAAATACTTAGTGTTTCACACATGCACACACACACATGCACACACACACACAGCTTCTTAGTATCCCCAGGAGAATGGTTCTAGAACCCTACAGGTATCAAAATCCACAGATGCTCAATATTCCCTCTATATAGCCTATGAACACCCTCCCCCATGCACTTTAAATCACCCCTATATTTATAATGTCTGATACAATATAAATGCCTATAGTTGCTATAGTAATATTATTTATACGTAATGACAGGAAAAAATTCTGAGCATGTTCAACAGAGAAGCAATTTTTTTCTGAATATTTTTGACTCTGTTGACTCAATTTGTGGATGCAGAACCCAAATACAGAGCAACACACACACACACACACACACACACTCCACAGGCTCACAATAAAGCGAAAGAGAAGGTTGAGAGAGATTATGACTCTTATCGAGGTACAGAGCTAGGAAGCAGTAGATTCTCTAAGAGAGAACATGGATAGAAGGAAACTGCAGAAGGCAACAAAAGCAGCGGCATTCAACAGATTTGGAAACTGAGGTATACTCTATAGTCTTGACATCTGCAAAAGGAGTAGGAAGCTCTGAATCCCCCACCCCCACTCCCATCTAAGCACTTTCCGAGGCAAAACAGAACAGTTGCACCAAGGCAAAGCAGCCTTGCAGGTCAGCTCAGGTCCCTAAGTGCACACCCAGAGTGTGGGGAAACTGAAGATGCTCCCTAGGGGGCAGAGACTTCTAGGTAATCATGCTACAGAATTCTTTGACTGTCAAGTCAACCAAACAAAAGCAGGTTTGAGGCAGTTCTGCGTGTGGCCACCAGCAGTGCTAAGCCCAAATCAAAGACAACAAGTCCTTTAGCCCGGTCCGCTCTAGAAAGTGTGCTACTTCACTCGGGCTGTGGCTTGAAAACTTAACTTGGACTAGGTGGTACTTGACAGAGATGCTGAGCAAAGCAACCACCAGAGGCACAGAATGCCCGAGGCCAACCTTGACATTGCAGACGCCAAGCTCAAGTGCAGGGAGATCAAAGAAAACACTTAAGCTCATGTCTAAGCTTAGAGCACAGTCCAGGGAGAGAAAAATCTGGGTTCCAGGATTATGTTCAGTCTGGACCGTTAACTCACATAGGTGGCTTAGGTGTCCCTGGGCCTCTCTGCTTGGATGCTCGAAGCCAGGGTGGTGGGTGGGTGGGGGGATAGGGGGACACTCCTTTGCCTGAACATGATACCTCCTGCCTAGAAGGGCAGGTCACATAGGACAAAGAGCTCAACCCCATTCTTCTCTATTAAGTAGAAAAAAGATTTAAAAAAAAAGAAAGAAAGAAAAGGGGGGGGGGATGGTCTAATAATGAGTGAGGAGGAATCCAGGGGAGCTAGGTCTGTGCCTTCTAACCTCCTGGACACCTGTTTTTGCTCAGTTATGACATCAAAACCAGTGGACTGGAGGTAACTGACTTATCAAATGCTTAAGTCTGAAGCTTAGAGCTGAAATCTAACTGGAAAACAGCAGTGAAATTTGATGAAAAGTGAAAGTCCACAAAGTCTCAGAGGTTAGCACCATCACTTCAGCAAACAGAGAAAAGGCAGATTCCAAAGCAAGACACACTAGCAGTCTTAACGAAGTTAGAGTCAAGAGTTCTCACCCGCTCCTCAACAGACTACCAGAGCAGCAGGGCAAGCCATTGGACAGGAGTCAGCAGGCTTAGGGAAGCCTTTGGTTGCAGATTAGAAACAATGGATCTAGTGAAAGTCCCAAAGAGCTATTCCCTACAGAGCTATGGAGAACTCTGGAGATATGGGCATCATGGGTGCCCCACATTCTGGGACAGAGGCTCAGTAAAGCCACCATTCACACTGGGGTCCATGGGCTTCTCAGCCAACATGCTTCTTCTCAAGTGGGAGAACAGAAAGGGCCTCAGAAGTCCATACAATGCCTCTATAATGGGAAAGGGGACCCTTCAGCAGGGGCATAAGCCACTCCAGCTTTCCAGGGGTGAGCTACGAGCCTCAGCCTCCCTGGGACCTTGTCCACCATTTTGCCCAACCATTACTACCGCTCCAGAACTTCTTCCTTCAGGCCCTGCAGCATGCATGGGAACCACTGCCCTGTCGACTCAGTCCCTATAGGCATCAATGGCGCACTAGCCAGCCAACAGCAAAAGGTACCCATGAGAGAGACAACCTTGGACCAGCTTTCCCAGCTCCACATTCAGTCCAAGTCAGTGGTACACTGCTGCTGCCCTCAGCTCCACTCAGGTGAATGGTGGCTCATTAGGCCCTCTATCTCTCCAGGTTCATACTACTTCCCATGAAAAGTCAGACACAAAGAAGCCAAACAAAAATAAATAAATAAAAATTTAAATTAGAAGAAACTACGCAGAAAAGGTCTTAAAAATATTATTTCTAAATGAGATAAGATATTGGGGCTGGAGAGATGGCTCAGAGGTTAAGAGCCCTGGCTGCTCTTCCAGGTCCTGAGTTCAATTCCCAGCAACCACATGGTGGCTCACAACCATTTGTAATGAGATCTGGCACCCTCCTCTGTATACATAATAAATAATAAATTTATTATTAATAAATTTATTAAATAATAAATAAAAAAATCTTTAAGATATTGCATGATGACACTAGAATGCTATGCTATTTTAAAAGAACACTTGCTGGCTCTGGGTATCACGGTACCAACACAGGTGAACCAGCTAAAACAAATCTATCCCTCTGCAGTGGGATGTGGCACCATAGCAGAGGCTGGGGAGAGGGGCCAGCATGACAGATCACGTAGAGCCATGTCTACTGCCTTCAAGTATACTTGAACCTAAGACTGCTGTTATAAACACTACTGTAAAACACAATCGGAGAGGGCTGGGGTATAGCTATTGTCCAGCATGTACTAAGTCCTGAATTCAATTCCCAACACAACAACAAATACAGAGGCCCTTCAAAGTTTTAAAAATGAAAATACAACAAAAGCTAATAGAAAAGTTAAAGGTAAAATTAAGGGTATCATTCCAAACCTAAAGCCATACAATAGATAGTTGGAAATCAAAACTTTAATAAGAGAGTACTTACCTCTCATGAGTGAAGCCCTGGGTTCAGTCACCAGAGAGCAAGTCCAGAAGGCTAAAAAAAACCAAGTAAATGCCACTCTTGGAAATTAAGGGAAAGAAATTGAATTGATTCAGTTGTCCAAGACTTGGAAAAAAAAATGTTGCTTCCAGCTTCAAAGAGTCCTCAACTTACCCCACCAGACATATGCAGATTTTACCAGGTTAAATCTCCAAAGAAATTCAGCAAACACAAAGAGAATCCCTAAAAGTTTCCAGACACAACAAACACAAAGCCAAACCACCACCATCCCCCAAAACAAACACTTTGGTATTCTTTCATCCAAAAAAAGAAAAAAAAAAAAATCAAATGAGCTTCATTCTCAGCTTCTGGCTGCCCTAAAACAGTAGCAGGGTTCAACTCTTGGAGGGAAAACTAACTAACATTGAGAAATTTGTTCAACAGTCGGGGCAAGACTAAGGACATTTCATGCTTAAAAGGTACCTTGTTTGAGAAAAGCTGATGTAGACTTTATATATTTTATTTATTAAATAAATTTATTAGATTTAATAAACCAAGAAATTAAAAAAAAAAAAAACCTTGTGAGATCCAGGAGAAAAACAAAGGCCATGTTAAGGATGCTGCAGAAGGAAGATACAGAATTGGCAATGTACAGTATGCAGGGAATCTCCAGTGGCAGTAGGCATGGGCAAGCATCACCTACAAGATTGCTTATAAAAGAGAACTGAGAGCTCACCTCCTGCAACTGAAGCCAAGGATTTGTAACATTTGGGGGACATTGAGGTGATAACGATATAAAAACACCTAGGCAAAAAGAACCGCAGCAAAAAAGTAAAATGCCCTATGAGTTTATAAGAAAGTTTCCATTGTAGACTACATTGGCAGAGATGTGAGTGGCACTTAAGGGGCTATTCCCACTCTGCCTACTCTTTATCTGGTCAAAAGAAACAATGAGGAAACCAGAGTACTCAGGATAGTACATGGCAAAATCCTCACCTTTCTACAGCAAAGGACTGGGAAAACTTGAGCTCCAGGAGGGAGACAGAAGATGGGGGGGGGGGGTTGACTGCAAGGGATTTCTATGTATTATTTATTTAGCCTCTGTTTATGAAGGTAAATGTGAGAGACTGCAGCT